TAATTTATATTTTACAAGACACCCGTGATTGAAAATCTGAATGATTTCCTCACACCATCAATGGCGTGATGATACTACCCGTAATTCATTAGCACCACTGGTAAATGAAAGATACAAATGAAAATATAACACTCAAGCTATACAGAAATATGCTAAATCAATTCAGAAATTTAAGTCCTAATCAATAATACGTCCGAATAACCATTTAAATCAGCCGCACTAGATTCAGAATTGAAAAGCATTGCCAGTTTATTCCTTATCTTTTCATCATTACATGCCAGCTGATCATTTGTTGTTTGCACACTGATAGTTTTGCTCATGAGTCACCAAACCACAACAATATCTCTGTGAATATGCCAGATATTCATGCATGCATTTGGCACACATACTGATTCTCAATGGTTATTTATCAGCACTTTATCAGTTAAATAAGCCTATTACCCGAATATATATATATACGGTGTCATAGTCAAATGTGTATTTATAATGACTAAAAATGGTATGCATCATTTATTTTGACATGAGAGCAGGATAATGTACATATATACACAATATCCCTGCTTTTATTTGAGAATAGAAGAGTCACGTCCCATGTAAGAGATATGTCACGTGCAAGTGCATATGTGAGTAACACATACAATATCTAAACCGGTGAAGAATGGGTGTTTTTTCGTCAGTTTTAATAAAAATATTCCGACTTCTGGGCCTGGTTCGAGAGCATCCAGCCTGACGCTTTGACGCGAACCAATCAGATCGTTACATTTCGCATCAACCGATGACGTTTCCGCCGCCAGTACGTGTGCAAATCAGCATCAGCCAGCGTGCAACGCTCAGCCAATCAGCGCCTTCCAACGAGCTGCTCTCCGACCAATGGCGAGGCTCCACGACGGGGAAGCGCTGCCGGCTTATAAACACAGGCGCAGCGCCATGAGTTACAGTTCAGCCTCCGAGAGAACGCGAGAAGCACAGAGACAGAGACAGACAGCATCCACACCCTCCACAGTATACACTTATCAGGTATCTCATTTAAACTATGCATTTAATTAGTGTATCTCATCAAGAGCTGTATCAAAGCAACCCGTTATAACTGTGTTGATAGTCTTGAGAAACGTTGCTTAAGTTGCTAGATTAAAAATATACATGTAAGTTATTGTAAATGCAATTAAAAATGCGTCTTGTTTGCTGCTTGTAATGTTAATTCATTCGATAGTAAGCGGTAAGACGAGCCGAATTAATGTTTTTTATTTTTAATTTTTTCTTAAATAGGTTTTTATAATGTGTTTTTAAATTCTTTATATTACATCATAATATTAATATTTGGAGTAAATGGTCAAAATGAGGATTTGCTGATCTGTGACCCACGAGGTCGAACTGGAGACTAGTTACTCATGACTAGTTTGGGATTGACCACAA